AAAAAAAAAATCTCAGGTTGGTGGCTGTGTTCTCCTGAGGGTCCTGGGTGATGTCTGGAGACACATGTCACACTAGGGGAGCTCCAGGCACAAAGTGGGTGTGGTCAAGGGACACTGCTTAGCACAATCCAGAGTCCAGGATATCCCACACAGAGCACCCAACCAGACATGCCCACCAATGAGCTTAAGGCTCCTCTGTCTCCAGTAAGAGTTACTGCTGACCCAGAGGCTCACCAGCCCCGGATTTAGGAGTCAGCTAAGTCAGCCCCAGGTCCCAAGGTCCCCTGCCTGGAGTCCCCATCTCCACCTGCCAACTGGCTACCGGAGCCACTGTGTCCATCTTCACTCGAGTCCCGGGGATTCGAACCCAGGCCTTCACACATCTTAGGTAAATACTTTATCTGCTGGGCCGACTTCCCAGCTCAGAGAACCCAAGTGCCTTGCCCAACCACCCAGTCCTAGGACTGTCACCCCACCCAATCCCACACACCCCGAGTCCTAATAACCATCACAGGGGCTGAGGTGGCAGTTTGGTCAGGACCTGGAGGTGGGTGTCAGTGCAGCCACCTGTCTCTGACATCCCTTCGCACTCAGCAGAGATCTCAGTCAGCATTTATACCCGAGCCCCACCTGGGCCAAAGGGCACTGCACTCCAGACGTAAGGTCCCCAAGGGCCAGAGAAGGGGGGGCAGCCCCGGAGCTGAGTGGAGAACCAGCCAAGGCCACAGAGGGGAGGGGCCCACAGAAGGAGGCGAAGCTATCAACTGCAGATGTCCCCGTCCTGGCTCCCCAGATCCACTGGGCCAACTCTAGAGACTGCAAGCGATCTCAGACATGAAGATTGCATCTCCTCGCTTCCCCAGCCAGCAGGTCTGAAGCAAGGTGGACAGAGGCGGAATTTGGGGACACATCTATACTTGTGGGACAGCCACAAAATGCCTTTAGCCAGGAGGCCGAAGCGGGCGGATCTCTGTGAGCTCGAGACCAGACTGGTCTACTGAGTGAGTTCCAGGACAGCCAGGGCTACACAGAGAGACCCTGTCTCAGAAAAAAACAAACCAAAATAAAGACTACAGAAGGTCAGGGGCTGTGGACCCAGGGAGAGCTGGGGTTGGGGACAGAGGGAGTCCCCTCTTTGGTCCCTCAGCTGTTCACCACCCACACCAAGACACACATGCATTGTTGGGGTCACTTGGGTGGGATGGGGGTGCCCCGGGCTCACCACCCTGTTGCATGTCACCTTTCCCTTCCACCCATTGTCCCAGAAGTCACTGGGACCGTCAGGGTCTGTGTTTCATTCATCCTTCGTTTTAACACAATTCTTTCTTTTACTTTTTGGGGTCACCATGGCCGCATGAAGCCTCGGTGAGGGCCAAGGACCCCGGGGAGGTGGTTGGGTACTTACTTTTAAGATCTCAGGGGTTGAAGGAGCCGCCGGAGGCTGGCAGGCTTGGCTTTATAGCCTTGCCGCCGGCTCCCCGCCAGGTCATTAATAGCGAGGCAGTGTCTTGCCCAAGTATGGTCAAGAACTGAGAACCATGAACTTGGCCAGACCACGTCTACTCTGAGCACCTGATCCGGGTTGTGACGGGTGGGGGTGGCACATACCAGTGTCCTCTGATCTACATGAGGCTAAAGGGGGGGGAGGGGTGTTCCCCAAACCACAAATAGAACTATCTGTGGTCACATCAGCCTGTCATCCAGGCACTTCGGATCTGGGATACACAGTTCGAGGACAGCCTGAGCTACGTAGAGTTCAAGGGTACAGTGAGCCCTGTCTCAAAGACATAAAAAAACAGTCAATGAACTTGAGACTCAATCCTTGGGACCGCTGCTAGCTAGGCCCCCACAAACTTGAGGTGTTTGGTTACCATCTTGGGAAGCACTGGGAAGCACCGGGACTCACTGGAGGCTGCATGGGTTTGTCGAGAGTGGACTGGGCTAGATGGGAACCGGAGGCGCCTCCAGTGGCCTCCTGCCTCCCTCGGACCAAACAGGGCCCTGTAGCAGGCGCATGCCGTCAGCGGCACCCGGACCACAAGCCCACCCTAACGGGATGAAGCCCGGATACGGGAACAGGAGCTGCATACCAGTGGCTGGCACACCTCCTTTCCCCAATTCCAGGCTGAGCCTCTTTGTTCTAAAATATTCCATGTCTGCCCGAAGTTCAGCACAGTATTCTCTGAACTTAGCTAATATTAATGGAGAGACCTATCTCCTCAAATAAGGCTCCTTCCTGCGTCCTGAGGGTCAGCACACCTTCATATTTTGGGTAAAACCAGGGCTTATCAGGAAAGCCTGTGAAGGGGCTTATGGCGACAGCTTTAACCTTTATTAACTTTTGATTTTGCGAGACAGTTTCTCTCTGTGGAGCCCTGGCAGTCCTGAAATGCACTATGGAGACGAGGCTGGCCTCGAACTCACAAAGATCAAGCTCCCTTTGCCTCCCCAGGTCTGTGCCATCACACCTGACTTTTCTAAACATTTAGATAATTTTATTTTTATGTATGAGCTTGTGTCTGTGCACAAGTGCGCACCCTGTGCCCGTAGAGCACATCGGATCCCTGAGTCTGGAACTACAGGTGGCTGCGCGGCTGTGGGCTATGGAGCTCGAACCCGGATCCTCTAACCCGACAGACTAATCCTGACTAGACAATGGCGGCCGCTGCCGCTAATCTCCACCAGCCCCGAGACCCCATCTGTAGGGCTGTACCGTGACCGCAGGGACACACACGGTCAAACCAGGCGGGGACTGAGCGCGCGGGAGGGCCACAGCCCGTCCCACCCACGCCTGCGGTTGTGAACAGAGCAGGACTAGAGAGGGGGACTGGAAGGACCGGGCGCCTTTTCTACACAGACGGTAACCCAGGTCTCCAGAGGCACCAGGAGGACAATGAGTCAGCTCACAGCTCAGAGACTTAACTGCTCCCGGGCAGGACGTTGTTGCGCCTGGGATGACAGGCGCACATCGTTTGATCGCCTCTCCCGTGGTGAGGCCTTTTGTGTCTCTTACTTGCCGTGTGACCCTCCAGGAGACCTGCTGTTTTTAGTTCAACTTCACTTGTCTGTCAACTGTGGGTGATGCCACCCATGGCGTGTCGCGTGGCACTGAGCATGATCTCCAGGGTGGGGACCCTCCGTGGTCGTGTGGGGGGTGGAGACCACACACCGTGTGGGCTGCTCGCTCCCACCCTCCCCGCGGAGCGTGGAACACAACGCGGCAGTGCGTGGAAAGCAACTTTATTCCGGGGTTGCGCGGGGGTCCGGGGTCCCGAGGTGCGGTGCGGAGCTCCGCAGCCGCAGCCTAGCGCACGCCGCACTCGGCCTGCA